CCACGCTATCTGGTGGACCTTGGACTTGATGGATCAGTTGTTCATCTGCGCCCTGGCTGGAGGCGCCATGCCCGTCATGCTGGCAATCAAGAGCAACTGCACCAGCATGCTGCAGAAGTCAGTGGCGTGCTTCCCTAGAGTCCTAGAGGTGAGCGAGAGCAGGTGCTGCTCAAGGTGCAAGGGACGGAATCGATCTCGACCCCCGTACGGTCCGTTCAGAAGGGGGCGCCCTATTCTCAGCGACCTGCTGATCATGCATGCCACCAAGCACTACTCCGGTATGGAGGTCATCTGGACGAACGGACATCATCACGATGCTCCATACAAAGGAACCCAGCTTGTTGAAGCCCCTGCTGGACGGGCTCGCGTGGCAACGCCAGAAACTGAAACACAGCATAGGTCTTCGACACAGATCTGCACTGCGCTGCATGGCTTGGGTGCTCACTGGTTCTGCCTCACCCTCCCGTCGTCATCGGCTTGCATCGTGCTTATTTTATCTTTGCAAGCACGCGTGGCATCTGTTCTTAGGGAATATCATGCCCGCGGACGCGCTGAACCACGAGCGTCTGCTTCATAGGCATGAGCAGCCTATATGTCAATGCTCCGTCACTGCACAGTTGGCTGGATCTTCGACATCTACATTGTCTACATGCATCAGTTCCAGCAGTTGCCCAATGCTGCTGAGCGTTGCAAGTGCATTACTGTCTGTGATTTGATGTGATCAGGTTTTGTCCTCTTGCGGAGCCTGTAGAATACGCATCCCTTTCTTGTGGGAAGTCTAAGTGTAAGGTAGTCCTCCATATGATCATCGGATGATGCAAGGAAGGGATTATACGAAGCTACTCCGGCATGCCCCAAGCCAGTCACTGGGAAGACTGTGCGGGGCAACGGACGTCGGAGTTTGGATAGTCTGTCTCCTAAAGCAAGATTTTGGCAGCTTTGGCCGGATTGAGCAATTCTGCGTACCTGTAACCCTATTCAACTACCTCTACCGCTACCAAGCAGCGCTGTAGTTGTAAATTGTAAATCTTGTTTCGGAATATTGACTTTGCACAGAAGCCCAAATTTTGAAGAGGATTCCAGCTTCAAACGTAATAGTTCAGACGGAAAACACTCGGCTCCCTATTTGTACAATGTCAAGAAGACGGCTCGGCAGATCTTCATGCCGCTTAACGGTGCTGGCCGAACACCAACATCTCGACATATCTCGACTCTGGACGTGAGACTCAAGTCCTGCAGTATTCCTGCCTCGGCACGTAGCGGGCAGCGGGCACTGCGTGACCATCGGGGAAAAAGATGCAGTGCCTTTTTGAACCTTGCAGGGTGTGGAAGTTCCTCCCAAGCACGAGGCGAAGTAGAATTAGAAAACATGGCAGTCCAGATTAGAGCCCGCTACGTGGAATTGGCCCGGTCGAGAGCCATGCGCCATCAATGAATACGGCAGATAGTTTTCATATGAGCTTCTGCACAGCTGCGCATGCACATGCAACGAAGATGTTGCGGAACATCGCGGAAGCATACATCGGCTTGTCCTGTTGGCCCACTCAGACCCTTTGACCGGCAGCAGAATTCACTTTCGGGTCGAATTGGTTGGGTTTGTGTCTTTAGCTTTTGCATCTGAGTCTTTAATTTTGGGTCTATTTTCTGGTTTACATCGGACCATTCAACATCTGATGTCCTTTGATTTCATGTTGCAAAGACTGACTCCGATGTCATATTGTGCAGTGACACAACATCTTGGGTCTATTTTCTGGCTTACATCGGACCATCTGATGTCCTTTGATTTCAGGTTGCACAGACTTACTCTGATGTCAGATTGTGCAATGACACAACATCTTGGGTCTATTTTCTGGTCTGCACCGGACCGCGGAGCATCTGATGTCCTTTGCGGTCACATTCAAACTTGTTTGAATCCAGCGATGAGGCACGTCTAAAGTTATATATATATATATAATATAATACGTGTGTGTGTGTGTACATATCATGTGTACATACACACGACATGTCGGGTAGCATGGCGGCGCAAGTTGTAACATAGACAGACAGACAGACAGACAGACAGACAGAGAGAGAGAGAGAGAGAGAGAGGCCGAGAGAGAGACAAACAGAGAGAGAGAGAGAGAGAGCCAAAGAGAGGGAGAGAGAGAGAGAAAGAGAGGGAGAGAGTGAGAACTTGCAAAGGCTGCGTGCATCAGTGATTTAGTGTGTGAGTGAGTGTTTGAATGCGTAGGTGGCTGGGTGGCTGAGTGAATGGGTCAGTGGGTGAGTAGGTGTTTGACTGAAGAAACAGTTTGAAACTATCTGCAACAAGGTTTGTTTGCTTGATTGCCCAGGATCTCTTGAGGTTGATTGTCGGATGAGCGAGGAAGACAGGGCCTCACCCCCCAAACCATGTAAATACTGAAACGCCTCAGTTTTACACTCTAGCCTATGCCTAGACCTGCAGCTTCACTCTTCTTTCCTCCAGCACAGCTCCAGGGGCATGCCGGGTGCGAAAGTCTCAGTTCGAATGAGCACAAAGAAATTGCCCAGCAGCTCCAGATTTCGATCGCGTCATGGAGGCCGAGTCATTGAAAGTGCTCCCATTTTGGGCTACGCAAGACATGCCCAAAGTCCAAGCCCCTATCTAAGGAAGGCAGCAGGCGCGCAAATTACCCAATCCTGACTCAGGGAGGTAGTGACAAGAAATAACAATACAGGGCATCCATGTCTTGTAATTGGAATGAGTAGAATTTAAACCCCTTTGTGATTTGTCACGGACATGCGAACATGTGCTTCTGTGTCTTGGTTAGGATTCATGCCAACTTGTCTCACTAACGCAGCTTGACTGCTCAAGGACCGCATGCGCGAGTCCCAGCAAAAGATCCGCTAGTGCCTGGGGGTTCTAGTGTTGTCTTTCCGCTGAGCGTCAAACTAACGGCACTAATCTCTGATCATCCTCGCTTTGCTTTGCTGCCTTGCTTGGTCTACGATTGGTTGCCTTGGGCTTTGTGACCGAGAGTTGAGTTGAGTGGACTCCTCCGCTTTTCACAGGTTATCAGCCGTAGGGCCTCCGCATCCGATTGTGGATTGCTGCTTCGCTGCTGCTGCTTGGCACTCGGACCGCCTGATCCAATCAGTGTCCGATCACTACCGTTTTCCTGGCTCAGACCAAGTTCGGAACTTGTGATTGGCCGCGCCACCGAGAGAATGGCGACTCCGATCGGTTCTCCTCGTGTCCCCTCGACTGTCGGTTCTTCACTAGTGACGCCAGTTGCTCGGGATGTCGTGGAGCCCGATGATAGTGCCCACGCATCCCGCTGCACTGCGCCCGCCTCGCACGCTTCGCTCGCTCGCTCTGCTTCGCTGCTTGCTTCGCCGCCTGCTGAGGACGATCAGAGAGCTCAGCAGCATGCGCCGCTTCTGCCATGCTCTGCTGCCGCTTTCGCAACGCCTGGCACGATGCACGCCGGCTTGCCGCCTGCTGCTGCCACCGCTCGTGCTTTGCCTTTGTTGCCTGCTTTTTCTGCATCTGCTGCTCCCGCTGCTTCTGCACCCCTTTTTCCTCCGACCGATTCTTCATCCTGTCCTCTGTCCCTTCGCGGGGATCCTGAGGGCACTTGCATTTCGCTTTCTTCGCGTCGCTCAGCGATCCATCACTCTTGGGTCCGCCGGGTCCCGAATCGTTGGGACCAGATGGGTTCCCAGTCTGTCTTTCAAGACAGACGAGACAGATCCTCAGCGGATCTCGGCAGCAACTGTTGCAGCACGAGAATCGGCATGAAATGCATAGACGGCGCAGGGTAGTAGAAAACGTTCCAGTGCATCGCTCGCACTGAAATGTATCGTTTCCACTTGGTCGTCCAGTGGGCCGAATGCTCGGCGGATCGAGGCCGCCATCGGGTGGACCATTCCCATCGGGAGGGCCACCACCACCACCGGGTGGACCATCGGGTGGGCACCAAGCGGGCCACCGCCACCACCGGAACCGAAACCGGATGCACCAAATCCATGTCCTCCAAAGCCACCACCGTATGCGCCCCCATTATCGTTGGGGCCATCACCGCCAGAAGGGCCGTCATGCCCATGTTGCGCAGGCGGTGGCCCACCAAAACCGGAAGGCGCAGCGCTCGGAGCTGGAACAGATGTTCTGGCATTGAACGTTGGCATGGGAGGCATGGCATCAGTCGGCGCAGCCGGCCGAAGTGTAGCTGTGACGCTTGCATTCGGAGCCAAAGTGAATGTGCCAGTCTCACTGTGGAGCATCGGTACACTGGCACCACTGCCTATGACATTGGAACGACCGAGCATCGCATCATACCATCTGGATGGCCCTTTTCCCGCCGGAACAGTTCGTGTATCATACGAAATCTGGCACGGAAACGTAGGGCTCCGCTTGGGCTCTGGAGCAAATCTCTGGGTTTCGGGATCATAGCGGACGCCGCTGCGTATGGCCAGATCATCGTCGACAGGGAAGGGCCTGATACTTGGGGCCTGACCGGAGACAGCTCCGGAGGCATTTGCGGTAGGAACGGCCGGAATTGGCGATCTTCCCGAAAAAGAGGCTGACGTTTGGCCATAATTCAGTCGAACGGGCTCAGCAGGATGGCCAGTGCTTGCACATTAATGACGTGTGGAGCGTGAACGGGCCGTAATTTTATATCACTCAAGATCTCTCAGGGGAGGTAGAATGGAACCCTCCCATGTCGCTTTGGCTGTAGGTGCCTCCGTGCTCGGTTGGTGGGCACATCCCAATCCGGATCCGAGAGCGGAGCCGTGTGTGTGTCAGTGCCACTGCATAGGCTCCTCATCCTTTGAACGGGCAGAGGCTTCACAATCTTTCTTTTGGCCTCTTCTTGTATTGGTGCTGTTGCTATTGGGGACTAATCTGGCTTTGGTCTGCCGGGTCACTTTCCGCAGCTCCGACTCCGGAGATAGGGAGGTGTCCTTTTCCGTGAAGGGCAAACCGGGCAAGGGGATCTTTGGCGCAAGCAAGGGTCTCCAGCTCCTAGAGCAGTGAAATGAACGCTGGGGATGTGGTGTACGTCTTGTATCATGGTGATCCTGGCGTCTGGCACACGAGACTCCTGGCGTCAGACCTCGGACAGGATGAGTGGATGATCATCACTCCTGACCGGGACATTTACCCGGAAGTATACTCGCCTGCCAATGTGGACATTCATCGCTTCTACCATGCTCCTGATGGCCGGTTGCCTCGACAGGTTCCGGCTGGCCAGGTGTATGCTTTTGCACCGTTGGATCCCCGACAGTTCGGCGATCTTCTACGTCTCGGTAGGCAAGAAGCTGCGGCCGAACTTGCTAGACGTGGTGGTCCGGTGATGGCTGCAGCTCTCGCTGGCCAAGGCAATCCTCCGGCTCCGGTAGCGGCTGGGGGCGTTCCTCAGGGGGCTGCTCCAGTGATTCCTGGTGGCCCAACGACCTGGGTAGCCTTGGAGGATGTGGGAACGCACAAGCGGGGAGATGTCATCGCAGTGGACCCAGGGCCACTCCCGCCTGGACATGTCGTTCTAGGAAACCGTGCCTTGGTGCCTGTGGGCCTTGAGGTTATGGCTGTCATCAAGACCACCCCTGACGGAGTGGCGGCGGTCAAGTTCGAGGACGTTCGCATCCTCCCGGTGCAGTTCGATGCTCAGGGGATTCGCCGGCGAGAGTTTAACTTGGCCGTTTCCCAGCTTCATGACACAGTGCCTCAGGGAGGTGGGCTGCAGCTTCAGGGTCCGTCTACGTTCCTGAACATTGCCAAGATGATGAGAGACCAGAACTTCACGCCCACCACCTTCCATGAGTACTGGGTTAGGTCATCAGAGGTGGCACGCGGAGATCGTTCCGTGTACGAGCACGAATGCCTGTCAAGGGTTATCGAGGCCATGTTAGGGTCGATCAACTGAATGCTCCATGCTTGCAGTCAGCAGAACTCATTTGTCGGAGGATGCAGGTCATCAGGGAAGCTCATCGTATCTCGCCGTCGGCCCCGGACTACTCAGCAGCAGACATCATGATGGGATGGCGCTTTCGCCGTGCCGGTCAAGGCGTTGATTCTGGTTTGGCGGGCTACGTCGCCTCCGAGCTCAAGAATGAGGCTGCCATCGCGAAAGAGGCCAGGAAGGCCAAAGAAGAAGCGGATCTTCGCCGCCGCAACCCCCGTAAAACTGGCAAAGCCGGCGAGGGGGGCGGTGGCCAGGGGCAATGAGCCCTGCAGGGGCGTCTGCCGGGGCCACGGGCGCGTCTGATCCAGCAATGGCTCCCTGGCTTTTTCGATAAGGGTTTTTCCAATTTTGGTGGTGTGGATAGGCAGAGAGACCTTTTTCCCATGCCCATGGTTGCCTACCGGGACGTCTCGGGGCCAGCTTCGAGTATGTCTCAGAGGCGACGGGCGGCTCGCTTCAATCACAGGGTCGCCGCAACAAATCGCATCCTGGGCTCCCTGAACGAGATGTATAGCCAGGCGGGATCATCGGCATGTTCGCATTCAACCCCGACTGCTGCCCAGTATGCCGCACAGAGTCACATACTTCAGCAAGTGGAAGTGGTCTCCAAAAGCATTCCCGTGTACAGTGAGCGTGAGGCGACCAGATCGCTTCTGCAATCTTGCCTCTCCTATTCCGAAGAGGCCCAGACAACAGTTCGTCCTTTCAACCCAGACCTGGTCTCCCTACCTCGAGTTGGCTCTAGCCCTCCCCGTCTTCAGGATCTTGTGGACCACTTTGGTCGTGATATCTTGAAGGACCCCGTGGGCAACATGAGGCTGAGTCCGGATGAGTGGGGCAGCAAGGTCGAGAGTGGTGCAGTTGTTACGCCCTACATGGATGTGGTCTTAAAGAATGATCCCAAGAAGTATGTCCAGTTCGTCCATTCCTTGTATCTAGGGGGCATGATATCGTTCACCGACCAGCCTCAGGACTTGATGACGCCATTCTTCGTGACGAAGAAGAGTGGCAAATTGAGGCTGGTCCTGGATTGCCGTGGAATCAACCAGAGATTCAAAGAACCCCCTGCCATGATGCTTGCAGCAGGCTCCTCCTGGGCCCAAGTCGAGATTCCCGAAGGCCAACATTTGCACATCGCCCAATCTGATATCACCGATTACTTCTACTCTCTCCGTATGCCGGAAGAACTGCAGGGCTTCTTCTGCCTTCCAGCCATTCCCGTGGAGGCGCTGGACGCGTGGAACGTTGACGCGTCCCATCGGCCTCACTCTGGACGCGAAGGCATGATCTTCCCATGTTTTCGAGTGGTTCCCATGGGCTGGTCCTGGGCTATGTATTGGGCTCAACGCGTGCATCAGATTCAAGCACTTCGTGGCTCAGGCCTTTCTCCTGATCGGCTGTTGGTGGCTGATCGGCCAGCTCCGTCGTTGGCGGATGGCCAGCCACTCATCATCGCTTACGCGGATAACTTGAACGTAGCAGGTACCTGCCCGGAGCAAGTTCAACGAGCTAAAGACTCAGCCGTTGCTCACCTCAGGTCCCTGGGTTTTGGCGTGCACGAAGAGCTTGACGCTTGCACCTCAGCCGCCTCCTTAGGGTTCCTCGTCGACGGCATTGAGGGCACTGTGTCACCGATCCCGCAAAAGGTTGGTATGGTGGTCGCCGCTTTTAGATGGCTCAGCAGGAGTCACTTTCTGGGGTTGCTGTGTGTACCAGATACGCTGATGCGGAGAAGGTTGCAGACTTAGCTAGACGCAAAGAGGGCTGGCGATTCAAGGTCAGAGATTTTGTCGCTCCTAGAGAAAAGGCCCTGGGCGCACATGGTAATCTTGACCCTTTCTCCGACCCCAATACCGTTCTTCCTGTCGACACTCTTCCCGACGACCCCTTCTCCATCAACCCGGACTTTGATGAGATTCCTGCCGACTTGATGGATCAGGGGGAGTGGGCAGACACGTTCGCAGCGCAGATGCATCATTCCGAACCTATTACGGTGCTTGAAGCTCGGGGGGTTTTGGCAGCTGTTAGACACAAATGCCGTTCTCAACGCAATTTTCACAAGAGGCACCTGCACTTCAACGACAATTTGGCAAATGTACTTTGCCTTGAGAAGGGTAGGTCATCCTCGTTTCCAATGCTGAGGGCGTGCAGGCGTTTATGTGCTCTGGCCATAGTCTCGGGCGTGGTTTTCCATCACAGGTGGGTTCCCAGCGAACTCAACCCGGCAGATCATGCTTCGAGGCAGTGGGAGTCGGAGCGCAAGCAGCACAGCCGCAGGCACAAGACATCGCCGGCAGCCGCATCCTCCGTCGGAGGACCCCGCACTCGCCAACTCGGTGAGGGCTTCGCTCCAAGGGATGACGACTTCTCAAGCTCCCTCCCTGAAGCGGACGAGATCTTCGATCCGGCGATCGCTACAGGGAGAGACGAAGGAGGCGAAAGCCAACAAGAGACAGCGGTTGATCTCAAATGCGATGGCTCCCCGGTTCCAGGGACAGACGTTCCTCGAACAAGTGGCCGTCTCCGCTCCAGTGGCCCAGGACTATGTCAACAGGGTAGCAAAATTCATGGAATATTCCAGGGCGAAGGACATTCAGGCCCTTTCCGATGCGAAGTTGGACGAGTCCTTGAGCATCTATCTCAACAGCATGTTCGAGGCAGGGGCAGACGTTTCAGACGGAAGCAAAACCTTTGCCGCGGTGCTGGACGCAAGGCCAGGCTCTTCATCGACGGGAGCTCTTCCCAGATCCAGGAGATGCTTGAAGGGTTGGAGCAACATGGACCCCGGGATGACGAGGCCTCCTATTCCCTTTCCCCTGATTGCTCTGATCGCATGTCTCCTGCTCGACCAGAACCTCGGGGAGGCCTGCCTCCTCGTGCTCCTCATGTTCAGCGCTTACCTGAGGCCGGGCGAGGCCCTGGGGCTCCACTCCAACGACATCGTGAAGCCATCCAGGACAATCAAGCATGTTGCCATCAACCTGCACCCCGCAGACCGATACGAGAGCAGCAAAACGGGCCTCTCCGACGAGACGATTCTTCTGGACTCTGCCACGGTGCCTTTCCTGGGTCCGATGCTTTTGAAGTTGGTAAAGATGCGGAAGGACAGGCCAATGTTCACCATCGACTATGGCACGCTGCTCCAGGTGTGGCAGCACACGCTAGCCGCGGCCGGTCTGGCGTCCAATCATGCTGTTCTTTATCAACTCAGACACTCCGGACCGAGTCACGACAGGCTCCACAACTTCCGCTCATTGATGGAAGTGAAGTTTCGGGGGCGCTGGGCAAGCGACTCCAGCGTCCGTCGGTACGAGGCCCACAGCAAACTTTCGTTGGAATTCCAGAAGCTTCCGAACCACATTCAGCAAGCCGCTCTGCAAGCAGAAAAGTCTCTTGGCCTGAAAATGGCAAGGTTTGGTTTCACGAAGTAAACCCTGCCGCACCTTGGGTCGTCGAAGTCTTTTCTGGATGTGCACGCCTCTCCGAAGCATGCCATGCTCAACAATTCAACTGCCTGGCACTTGACATCACCTACGGTGACTCGTGAGACTTGCTCAGGGTTTCCGTACAACAGAAGTTGTTCGCCTTCCTTCGGGCTCACCCGGTCGCGGTAGTTTGGATTGGTATGCCTTGCACATCCTGGTCACGGGCGAGAAGATTTGACGACATCGGCCCACCCCCGCTTCGAGATGATCATGAATTTCTGTGGGGTCGGCCCAACCTTTCGCACAAAGACCAGCTAAAAATACAGAACGGCAACCACATCCTCACCGTCACATGTGACATCATTCGCTTCTGCCAAAAACATGGCGTGAGGTGGGTGTTGGAAAATCCACTCTCCTCACGGGCTTGGTTGACGGAGCCTGTGCAACAGCTGCTTTCGGTCGCTACGCTGCTACGGGTCGACTATTGCCAATACCGTGAACCCTGGCAAAAGCCCACAGGCCTGTTAGCTCATCCTGCTGACTGGCTGCGTCCCGTAGCAAAGCAGTGCCGGCCTAACCATGGGCGCTGCTCAGCTTCGGGGCGACCGCATATCAAGCTTGTTGGAACTGATGCCTCCGGCATCCTCAAAACTCTGCGAGCCCAGCCCTACCCGAAGGCATTGTGCGTTGCCATTGCCTCCACCCTTGCAGCTCAGTACCTGTGACTGGTTAGGGGAGGTTGGAGATGGCTTTCAGATCTTTGTAGTTCCACTCCGCGAGCTGAAATCAGCTCCTGGTGTCACATTCAGCACGTAGCTCAGCCGAGCATCTCGAAAAGGCTGAAAGCGCGTGTTATGCACTCTGGCCCCTAGCTCTTGTCATTATTCTGCCCACGACTTTCTCCAAGATGTTCGTCAGCGACTCGTTGCTGTGCACGCCTCAAAATCTCATCAAGATTGATGCCACACGTCTGAGAGTGCACCGTTGAGGCCTTTTCAGCGGGTGCAGCATTGCATCCCGGCGGAGAGCCATGATCGATCGGACCTAACAGTGAAGATCTCGGAATGGCAGTAGCATGTCCGCCAGGGAATAGTGCACCCGGAACTGGCGGCAGGTCCGCAGGACGTGGAACATCCCCATCGTGGTCGCTGATATCGAAGAATTGCGTCCGTTCCGGGCGCGAAGGCGTGGATAGATCAGATCCACCTCTGCGGACATGACCGCTCTCAAGATGCTGAACTCGGGCAGTGAGCTGATCGATAAGAACTCGATTACTCTCCTTGTGATCGTAGAGAGCACGGCTCATCTCGGAGATACGGTGAATTGCATTTTGCTGTACCGAAGCAATCCGTGCTTCAGCATTTGAGATATTGATCTGTATCTGTTGCAGCGCATCAGGATACTGCTTGATTTGGCGGATCGTCTCAGCGAGCTGCATGGATATCGATCCGGCACGCTTCTCGTTGAGTCGGTGGATCCGCTCATCAAACTCGATGAATCGATCATTGACCATCGAGTTGAGCCTCACAAAATGATCCTCAAGCGTCTCATGGTCAGAATTCCGCCTTTCGCGGACAGAGTCCTGGAAATGCATGAACAGCTCACGCTCTTTCCTCAACTCGGCCTGAAGAAGCTCCCACATGTCTCGGATCTTGCTCTCAAGTGCTTCAGTGATATCCGAGACGCCGTTCCTCAGTATGTCGAGGTCGGCTTGGGTGTTGGTCACACCCTGCGCGATCGCCAGAATATCGGCGGCGATGCGCGCGGATGCGTCCGACCCAATGGCTTCATCGACCAGGGCCCTGACAGCACAGGGGCCAGCATGCCACCCGCCATACTCGGTGGCGGGGGCAGCACCACCATGATCCGCCGCGGAATCGGTGCGACGGAATGGGTGCTCGCTCATGGGCACGTCGGGGAGCGGAGCTCCACCACGGCCTGCCACCGGCCCGTAGGAATCGGGGCGCGGTGGTCGGAAAGACGCCGGGTCCGAAATCGGTGGACCGCGGTGATATGAAGGAGCGAGTTGCCAATGCATTCGCGTACGATCCTGGATACGCCCTTTCATGGGTTGAGATTCCCGATGGCACTCGCTACGAGGATCTCCTTGACGGGTGCAAGTACGGAATGCTCGAGAACGAATGCAACTCTGCTTTCCGTGAGTGCGTCAAATCCATCGCTTTAAAGAACAAGATCCAGACCGAAACCGAGCGCATGCACACGATAAACCGGCGACTCGGAAGTAGGCAGATCCTATGGCTCTTGTATGACTTTTTGAGACCGCACGTCACTGGCGATTCGACATTCAAGCTCGTCGACCTCATGAAAACCACGATTGACCGGTTCACCCATGGGTCCGAGCAGGAGAGACTTGAAGCTTTCTCCAACCGGTGGGATCATGTCCTCGCCGGCATCTCTGTCGATCGTCCTGAAGATCCAGTCCTCTGTGCCCTCTTCTACGAACAGATTCGCGAGTTGCGATGCCTTGAGCTCGACATGCAACTGTGGGACAGAGATGTTTCCGTGCGGAACTATGCATACCTGCGAACTGTCTGCGTCAACGCGATTACCACTTGGCGTCGACGACGCAATCAGGAGAAGATGTATACTGCCACTCGATCCTCGTCTGCGCAGAGACGCTACGCTGCGCCTGCACACGGTAGCCAAAGGAGATCATTCTCTAGGGGTAAGAGAGGATCCAGATCGCCCGGGCATCGGGACTCCCGCAGAGGGAGTCCGTACCGGCGAGGATCGCCGAGACGTTCGTCACCCAGGCGTTCGTCCCCGAGACACGGGTCGCCAAGGCGATACTCACGGAGCCCGGGAAGGGCTGCCCCAGCACCAACGCGTCGATCACCATCACGATCCCCACGGGGACGGGAGCTCTGCTACGATTTCAAGAAAGGCAGATGTACGCGAGCAAGTTCTCCCACAATCTGAAGGGTAGAATTAAGCTCCTCGCCTAAGGCGTTCCCGCCTCGGTCTCAGTCACCGATTTCAAAGGAGTCTGGCATTTGCTTCTACTACGGGCGAGGCACCTGTACCAAGGGTGACAAATGCCCATATAAGCATGTGAAGCCGGGTGCCCCAGCTGAGAGCACTCCTGCTGCCGCTCCTGCGCCTGCTGAGCCCGCACCGACGTCACGGCGGGTAGACAGCCCGGCGCCAACGCCCTCGGATTTTTGAGAGGGGCGTGCCGCAACCCTCAGGCAATAACAGCATCCTCCTATGGAGACTTCGCCTTCGCTTGTGCCGCATCATTCGACATGGCATGTCCGTCAGTCAGGCGGAAGACAGTATCGTTTGGGGAATACTGAGACCCGCATGATTGAGTCTTCTTTCCCGGAGCCTGCCTTCGGCCCCGTTAATCGCGAGAGGAATTTGAGCTATTCGTGGCCGGAAGATATCCGTAGCCTGAATAGTGCTCGCGAGAAGCGCAGGGCTCACATGAAAGCAGTGCTTTGGCGAGAGCAGGTTTTGCTCGATGACGTTGATGCCAAGACGCTGGGAAATGATGCTTGTGTTCTGGAGCTCACGCTTTCGAAGCGGAGCGCCTGCGAAGTCTTTGCTGCTGCTGTTAAGTCTGTCAAGAGGGTACGGAGGCTAATGCTTGACTCCGGATGCGGTATAGACCTTATTGGTCTCGGTGATCTGTCCCGTGATGAAAGGGATCTGATTGTTCAGAATGCCAAGATAAGCCTGAGGACCGCCAATGGGAAAACTAACACCAAGGGTGTTGCCCACATGCGCATTGACGGTCTTGAGGAATTGGTCGAGGCATATGTGCTGGAAAGCACACCGAGTCTTCTCTCCTTAGGGAAACGATGTAAGGAGCTCGGGTATCGATTCATTTGGGAGCCCTTTTGCGATCCGATATTCTTTGATCCCAGTGGGAGAAAGCTCAAGGTCGACGTTATCAACAATATCCCATACCTTGCTCCTAGTGAGACTGAGGTTGTGGCTGGGCGACCTGACCTCCCACGAGTTTATCCGGCACTCCCAGCACCTATTATCGTGCATGAAAAGGTTGTTGCTGCTGGTGAGGAGCCTGTAGGCGAGCTCGATGATGTTGGTGAGCTCGTTCTCGATATGCCTGATGCCAAGGATGCCCAGGCAAAAGTACCTAACGAGAACAAGAAGGTACAAGACAAACGTAAGCCTCAGTCGCCGCCCGATGAACCTAGAGCGCGCGATCTGAGAGAGGAGGCGAAATCAATCCGCCACCTCATGACTCATTTGCCCAAGAATCCCTATTGCGATGCCTGCCAGCGTGCAAAGATGGAGAATGTTAAATCTTTTCGCCAAGACTCACCGCGCGATAAAGGGTTCGAGAAGTTTGGTGAACACGTTACCATCGACACTATGGTCTTGCACGGGCTCGGCAATCGAGGGAACAACGGGGAGACTGACGCAGTCGTCTTCTACGACCTAGCCACCGAGTGGTTAGAAAGTGTTCCCGTCAAAGGGAGGACGAATGCCGATACGCTGCGAACCTTTGGTGATCTTAAGGACGTGAACTCGTTCTCTATGGATGTTGAAAGAAGGTATGCGCCTTCAGAGATCCGGGAGATCTACTGTGACAAGGCTCGCGAGTTCATATCGACCTGTAAGAAAGTCGGCATTTCGGTGAAGCACTCCACACCCGGGATGCCACGAACTAACGCCATTGCCGAGAGTAAGGTGAAGCTTGTCCTTCATGGTGCGCGAGTCGCGCTACGACAAGCAGGTTTGAGTGCCAAATTTTGGCCCTACGCGTCCAAGCACTTCTGCCATGCACGCAACATCGAGATACGCGATGGGCAGAGCGCTTATGCGCAGCGATTTGACGGGGCCGAGTTTGATGGTCAAATCATTCCTTTTGGATGCCTTGTTGACTTCTTCCCCGCGCCGGCGCGGAAGCAGACCCGGCGGAGTCAGAAAGATGAAGTCGTACTCGGCGACGGTGAAGAATATGCTTTGCCAGCACCTGGGGATGACGGATTGATTGACGTCGAAGTCGGATTTGATGAGGATGGCTATCTCGAGTGGATCGACGACGGAGATGATGATCACTCCGGTGCTTCGAATGGCAATAATATTGATCAGCGATTATCGTCCTATCAACGCCCCAGCAAGTTCTCGCCTACAAGCAAACCTGGGATCTTCCTGGGATATCATTTCGAGAACGGAGGCAAATGGGATGGTGATTACATAGTCGCAGATCTTGAAGACTTCAAACGCGACGCATTGCGGGCGAGCGTCCATCAAGTCAAGAAGGTGTACTGCTCACCTAAGGAGAAATGGACATTCCCAATGCTGGCGGTGTACGATAAGCAAACCCGTTCGGTATGTATTAATGATCCCGCAATGCAATCTGCCGTGCCCAAGCCGAGTGAACGTCTTGACGCCTCCGATATGCTCGAACTCGAAGACATCGATGAGATTTTGCCCTCGATGAGCAGAATCGGATGACCGATGATGATATCCGGAAAGCTCGAGAGGCTGAGTTGCGTGCTGAGTCATCTCATGGTGGAGGTGTTGATTACTGGGAATACGACCCATCCACACACAAGTGGACATATCACGTCGTGGTTCCGAGAAAGGCCATGATCCATCCCAGTAAGACTCCAGGATCGGTAGGTGAATCACCTGATCCTTGGAAACTGAGCACGGTGCGTATCTCGCATGTGAAATACAAGTAAAAAAAGCCCGGTAACGATATATGAAACTGAGTATGCCTTCGGCAAGACGAGGCTTATGCAGCTCTGGACGGGCACTGTTGAGTTCTTCGATGATGGCTATGCCCCACCTAAGAAGAAGCTTCCGCCTTATCATGGGTCTGAGATCCTGGAGGGCGAGGGGGGACTTCCATATCGCCAAAGTGTGCCTCGTGTCGAGCGTTCCTACAAAGGGTCTCGCAAACCAAACTCAATCGATTCCGAATCATGGAGAAGCATGAATCGAGCTGAGCGGGAAGGTTATGTTGAGGCTGAGCGTCGAGAGTCCGAGGCTCAAGCCATGTCACGCGAAGATTCACGCGATGCCGCTCCCGCCGATATTGCTTTTGATTCTGAATACGAGTCGAGTGCCGAACGGCATGACAAAGATTACTGGCATCATGATGTCGCTGCTGGCACGATCACTCGATTTCATGTGATCGAACGCCGAGCGCGATTCAACCCTACCTCAGTCAAAGACTGTCCGGTTGACCCGGCAACTCTCACCGATGTTAGGGTGACTATGGCTATGACAGATGGCACGGAGTTTACGATACAGGACTCCTGGAGAGCATCCGATACACGCTCTTTGCCATGTCGATGGACGGGAAAGACCATCTTTGTCATTGGTACATCTGCCAAAACACAGGTGAAGGTTCGCACCACTCTACCGAGTCAGAATGGTGATGAACGCCGTGTGCAGACTTCCAATGGATTCTATGGTCATGCGCTGCAAGCGAAGGAACGTACTATCGTTCCTGCAAAATCTCGCGCTTGTGTCGTTACTGATCTCGAGTTTGACCCTCCGACTGGCATGTCCGCCCGCCTTCAACCTCTTCGTGGTAGTGGCCTCGATGTATGTCCGGCCATGTACACATATAACGAGGGCGCGACTCAGTCGGGTGTTGATGTCCTCAACCCTACTGACGCTGATGTTGTTATTGAATCTGGTCAGGATGTTGCGGTGGTTCAGTTCTACACATCCGTGTTAGCCGCGGTTGAGCTTGATTTTACCGTTGAGGATGACACAAGCGTTTCAGCTCCGGCTGAACCGTCCGATAGCGGTCTCACAGCTGATGCTGCGCCTGCGATGCCCACTCGTGCCGCCTCGCATTCGCATCGTTCGCCCGACTCATCGGTATTCTTCTACAGTGCATGTGTCGCACGGCCCGTTGACAGAAAAGAACGTGCTGCCAATCCCAAGGCTAAGGCCGCTCTTGATAAAGAGTGGAACAAGCTCATCAATCAGGGTTGTTGGGATTACGCATCCGTGCGTGAATGGCGCGATGTGTCTAACGAGGCTATGGCCAAAGGTGAAACGGCCCATGTTGGTCGTATCTTCGACATTTGCGTAGAAAAGAACGGAATCCGATCCCAACCGCAAATTCAAGGGTCGTGTGGTGTTTGAGGGTTGCCACGTTAAAGATGAAGGCAACAATTGGGCCATATTCTCCGAGATCACATCCTGCCCAGCGACCATGGAGGCAGGTAAGGCCGCCGATGCTTTTGGCCTTCTGCCTGGTCACGAGATCCAAGTTGCCGATGGCGAATCCGCCTACACTCAAGCTAAGCTTGGTGGCCCTGCCACGTGGGTACGATTGCCCAAAGATCGCTGGCTGCCTGAATGGCATGGCAAGTACCACGACCCAGTTGTGCGGCTTGTCCTGGCCCTATATGGGCATCCAGATGCCGGTGGTTTTTGGGAGCAACATTGCGAAAAGGCTCTCCGATCGGTTGGCTTCGAGCAATGTCCCGATTGGAAGAGTGTCTTTCGGCACCCCAAGTTAAATCTCATGCTCGTGGTCTGCGTTGACGATTTCAAGCTCAGTGGACCAAAGGCCAACTTGGCTAAAGGGTGGGAGCTCATGGCTTCTAAAATCAAGTTGGAGCCGCCCTCGAGCATCAAACGATACTTGGGATGCGATCATGTTACGTTTTCGCATGTTGTGCCTAGTGCTTTTGACCCGCGATCTTATTGGACCCGATTTGAGGAGCCTAAGAAGGCATTTCCCGAGCTCACATTCGGCGAGCACGACGACGCCAGTGTCGCGCAGGGCTCGATTGGACCTCGCGAAATCCGAATGATCAAATATGATATGCGATCATTTCCCAGACCCCCGGACGGATCCAAAAAGTAGATCCACCATGTCGTTGCGTATCTGTTTGTGCATGTGTGGTTCCAAAAACGCACAGCGGATCTACATCCATGGTAAATCAGCGTTGTTAACGAAGGACCTATATTCGAAGTAGTTTGGTTCAAAACCACTGCGAAAAAAAGAAAAAAAGAAAGCTTAAGAGAGATTCGAATAACAGAAAGAGAGAGGACCATATGAAATACATACATACTGTTATTCGCCGGTGTGGTGAGGCTTTGGAAAGCTTGCATTGTTGGTTTGGAATGTCAGGAAGTCGTTTCGTAGCATAAAGCGATCAAGAGTCTGTGTTTGGAGCGAGGTTTTCCGAAAGCTTGTGTGGTTATTGGGATTTTGAGGAATTGAACGGAATATGAGTAGAAATCGAAGCCTTATCCTTTGTTTCCTTCCACTCCTTCTAGAACACATCACTTAAAGTAGAACGAGGCAGCAAAAGCATTGTACATGTGTGTTACCGCATGGTCGTATGAAAAAATGCTGCAATCTTGACTGTAGCTATTCAAATTCGCATCATGAGCATACATCACACAGGCCCCACAGCCAAAGGTCCCATTTCCTGGCCCAGTCCTCCGGTTTTATGGTATTATAGCTGCTGGGTTGTCGGTAGGCGGAGTAATTCCTTAAAGCCCTATTGGCCAGATTCCAATCGCTGATTAGGCCTAAGTTTTTAGATATTAAAACCTATAAAACTAGCAAGCCCACCCCCGAAGCCCGAACCCCGAAGTCAAATCCAGAGAGCTCCGACAGCTGGCCGCATTCGCAGCCCGAGATCTCAGCAGGATGCCCAATGGGCACGGGGTTCGAGGTTGTGCCAAGTTTCGGTGTCCAGAATGCAGATCCGACCACTTCCTGGGATGTGAGTAAGGCTTACTTCCAGAATCGGGTTTAGTGCGCTCGCTCTCTGTTGGCTAACTTTAGACTTTTCTAGTCTTCGGACCTAAAGCCCTAATCCCCCAGTCTTAGGACCTAAAGCCTTATAATCCCAGAACCCCTACATACTACCTGTAGCTGCCTTATGTCACACTGCAGCTTCTAACTCTTAGACCCCAAGTATCACCCGCAACCCGTACTGCTGTACACAGCGATCGAACACTGCCGGTGCTGCTGCGACTCTGCAATAATCTACCGCCAAACATCCTAGTCTAGATCAGTCGACCGTGGATTTGCCAGCAATGGCGGGCAAAGCTCAGAAGAGACCGGCGGCTGGGCAGCGAGTTCGGAGGGTGGGGTTCAAGAAGTTTCGAGAACTGGCATCAGCGATGGCACCATTTATCAACTCGAAACACTTCAGCACATATACCACTAGCCGGGACATGGCGAAGATGGACAAAAAGAAGCTTCAGTCTCGGCCATCCAGCTCTATATAGAATACTGGTTTCGTTTCTTTTAAACTTCGGGGTTGCTTGGGTCGGGGTTTGAGCTTTTCGACCGATCCGAATCGAGGTTATTCCAAGGAATTTTCCAAGCTACGATTTCCCTCAGCCCGACGTGGAACTTCCCTGATGCTGTGCTGAAGAAGAGCCTTTTGCATATCTTGAAAATGGAGGACCCAGCAAGCTAGCTTTTATCTAGATTCTGGTTCTTGTGAATGGAAACTTTTGGCATTCTAGCACTACAGCAACGAAACAGGACAGAACAGAACTCAGTGCCGCGATCGAGCCATCAGATAGAGATACATGGGCGACTACCACTGCTTTGCGATTGAGTGCTGCCTTTCGCCATTACAGCCAGTCATCACTCCGTCGTCGCGAATGGGTCCCTGAGGCCCGCTCGTTACAAAACTTCTTTTTGTCTAGTGTGTTCGGAAATGAAATATTAATACGTGGCCGATACCCCTGGCTCGGCAGGCACACAGAAGACCTCAGAGAACCCCGAGCGATGTTGCAGCAGCACAGAGGGCAAGCAAGCGGCGAAGGCTTAAGGGGAAGCAGAAAGATCCCGAAAATGAGTCAGCAGATGGTGCCGAACCAGATGATGATGAAAAGGATGAGCATCAAGATGATGAGTGTGATGATGGCAGTGGCAGCGACGACAGCAGCAGCAGCAGCAGCTCGTCGTCTTCGTCGCCAACAAGCAGTAGCAGCAACAGCAGCAACATCAACAATGATGACAAGCAGAAGGCAACATGTGAAATTGCCGAGGAGCAAAAGCCAGAAGAAGCACCACCCAGAGAGCAACTCCCGCAAACAAAGCAAGACGAGCCAGCAGTGCAAAGAAGCAGCAAGCAAGATGTGCCAGACATGTCAGAGCCCTGGACTTAATCATCGTAGGCTGGCATCAATGCACTATTCTCTGTACTACTGGCATCAATGCATTATTCTCCGTACTGCTTTCTCAGAAACAAATGCACCCCAGCCCCCGCCGCACGGGATCCCAAACAAATGAACATGCCAAGGTAGCTGCTGCTACCGCCGTCGCCAACGACTGGTTCTTGAACGCCTTGGACGGAATGCTGGCTGGCGATGACCCAACTGGGACTTCGTCTTTCAGTTGCCCGTCTGCGCAAGCGGTTCTGGCTGGAAAGCTCCCCAAACTGTGCAGCTGTGATCTCCCAAGCTTTAGGCCCTCATGTCGAAGAGTGAAGTTAGACCTGAGTCCGATG